TTTTTTTTTATTGCTGTTGAGCTTGACATGACTGTTCTCGTGCTGGGAATGTTGTTTTTGAAAAAGAATAACTAGATTGTGAACAGCTGATTGATCTATCTTTACACGAGTAATTCATTCGGAGGCCGATATTTTGAACTCTGCCTCTGGTCTAATATTCTACTGGGCCGGCCCTGTGTAAGATATCTATATAGCTTGGGCCAATGGAATTGTATAGAATATTGCATCACTATGTGCAGATGTTGAGGTTCTTTGATTGATTTATGCCTGCTAATTTTGTGTTTGATGTGCTTTTATTGTGGCAACCTAGGATACTCAGCATCATATGAGGTTGGGTTGAAGAAATTCAGTTGATGATAGCAGTCTTTTCTTTTTATTGTTAGTAATTTCGAAAGCCTTAACAGTATCTAATAATTTGGAAAAACCTGAATTTGAAGGATCCCATTTTGTATAGAACAATGTCTGAATGTCATATACTTTCTCCTTCCTGTGGAAATGGGTTCTAAATGTTGTAAAAGGAATAGCTAAGTAATTTGGGTGCTAAAAAAATTAAGAAATTATTGTGGGCGCTGCTGATAATTGCGTATAGCGTCCTTATCTATCATCTAGCTGTTATGTTATTTTTGTGAATTCCTTGATTTTTGCGTGTGTGGATGTTGTACTGATAATAATATTAGGTCTTGCTAAGAAGCAAAGGAAAGGATATGGAGGAGCAATTTATACTGCGAGTGCCCCCAGCAGTGGCCGAAAGAATAGAGCGTCTCTTGAATGGTGATTCTTCTTCTTCTGAAGACAGATCCTTGGACTTGTCATTTTCTGGTGATATGCTGATTTTCTTCTTTGAACATTGAAAGTATACCTTATATAGTGATTACTTATGTTCTATCAATGCTTCAGTCGAAGCTTCAATGATCGTTCGCTTAAATATAATCAGTTTGTTCCTATTCTTCTGACTTTTGCTTCACTGTTTTACATTTCATTTTTAATTTTTATCATAGATGATGGAAGGACTGGAACATTTGTTATCGGGAATGACAGTTTCTCCGCATCCCTCTTGGATCTTCCCACTGTTGTGGAATCTTACAAAACATACGACGATAATGTGTTGATAAAATCTGCAGATATTGGTCAGGTAGCTAATTTTCATATTGCCCTAGATATTTTGTATTCGCTAAGGTCGAGTTTAACAGTTTTAGGCTGTGACAGATGATAATGGTGAAAGAGGACAATGTCCCAGAAACAGCAGAGTACAAGCATGGTCTTACTCCACCAATGAGGGATGCTCAAAGGCGAAGATTTCGGCGGGAGCCTGGTTTGAATGTAACATAAGATTTCCATTTATTACCATCTGCAAATGCTTTGTGTTTCTTTGTGATACATGTATTTTATTTATATCCACGAGTACACATTAATGATATTGTGTTGTTTGGCAGCCGGAGGTTGTCCATCTTGTTGAGAAAGATATGCAAAACATCATGGCTGGTGGAACAGCTGAGAATATTGATATCCTTTTAATTTGTTACTCTTCATGTGTGTGTGTATGTGTGTCTCTATTTCTGACTCTGGGTGGATAACACAACACACTTCCTCTAAGAATATGGAAGTAACAAAGACATGTGCATTGATTTTTTTATTTTTATTTTTTTATTTTTCTGTTGTGAAAGATAAGTTACTATTCTACGTTAGAGCATCCTGTTATTAATTTGATGATCGTCACATTAATATCTGCCTTTGATACCCTTATAATGCATCTCCATGCCCAAAAAACAAAAAAATAATAAAAACAAAAAAGCCTGTTTATTACGTATAAGATCCCATTGTCAATTTAAATCTTGTCATTAGCTTTTTCTCCTTTTAGCATTGTAGTCCAATCGTTTCACTTGACCTGTGTATTGTGGTGTTTAAAAATTGCATAAACGCACAATTTGAATATAGATTCCTATGTTCCTTGACTGATTAATTACCTGCCGAAATGGCGCCAAAAGAGTTTGGTGTTGAAAATGCCCGTAATGTTGGTAAGAATGTGGTTTCAACATCTTCAACAAAGCCTGATGTGCCTGAAACTGGAATGGTAGTTGGGGAGCCCGATCCTGATGGGAGTGATTCAGATGAGACTGATGATTCTATGTGAACCGAAGCTGATGGGGTTACATGCAAAGCTGTTCTTGGTCTGTTAAGTTGATGATGAGGTGAATGTGTGCCATGTGTCAATGACTCAATAGCCTTCAAAAAAGCATGTTGTCTAGAGTTTGTTCATCTGCACAAAGTTTTCAGGGGTCTTATTTTTCTTGTTTTTATCGCTTTCCTTACTTTTATTTAAGAGTTCTGTATGAATTTCATGTGAAGTGTTAGATGAGAAGTTCAGTTGGCTATCAACACTAATACTTGTATAGTTTCAAATCTAGACTTTTCGCAATTGTATAGGTTTACCTGAGGTTCAGAATGGTTGTTATTGAAACACATATTATTGACATTCCCTTGTTAAATGAGAGAGCTATCTTGCCAACAAGTATTTGCATTATTACCTTACATGATAAGAAACGATGCATCTCTTGCTCAATCAAGTACGTATAAGTGCTCTTTATCAGAATGTTCTCTTTTTTCTCTGTTGACAGTTATCAGAATGGTTTTTATTTTTACATTTTCATATGGTCTCTCTGTGGGTTGCTTCACATTCACTTTGATCTTTGTTGACTAGTCAAATCTCATTCGTTGTTTGACCACAACTCCTAATGTTGTTTTGGCAACTTTAGATTGGTAACTTTCCTCAGCAAGGGATGAAACTATGGTAGACAATATGACAATACTCACCAAGATAATTTATGGTTATAAATTTTTCTGCATGAGTTAATAGTCCATCGTGTATTAGGTACATTAGTAGCTCTCAATTCTCGTAATGTATTTTACCATGGTGGAACTTGACGGAATTGCTGCGTAATTGTAAACTATGTAATGACTTGAAGTAGGTGGAGGATACGGATACCTTCTGTGCTGGAAATCTTTTATGTGTGTGGCAGGAACATCTACTCAAGTGCTGGAAATGTTTTATGTGTGTGGCAGAGAACATCTACTCAAGCCTGTTACTAGCTAAATATCTTGACATTGTTGCCTCTAATTTCTGCATGCAGTTCTGCTAATAGATTTTGGGTATATGTATGTGTGCTTAGTCACCACTCATCAGTATGAAAATGAAACTCCATGCCCACCATTCTGTCCAATTATCAGGTTGTTTTGTTGGTGAGCTGTAATCCCCATTCGATTGTGGATTTTTGGTGTTATTATTTATTTTTTTCTTATTAATATTTGTCCTCTTTATTGTTATTAATAATTGCTAATGTGATTATTTTCTTATTAATATTTGTCCTCTTTATTGTTATTATTAATGGCTAATGTGATTATTATTATTATTATTATTATTATTATTATTATTATTATTATTATTATTATTATTATTATTATTATTATTATTATTATTATTATTATTATAGTTTGTCAAATTTCTAATTGCTTATATATATATATATATATAGGGTCGCGCTCCGGTGAGAATGGTGCTTAGGGAAAGAAATAAGAATAAATTACAACCATTAAATCCCATCATCCAACGGACAAAAAGAACTAATAATATTACATTCATAAGGGCAATACGGGCATTTTCCAGCCACAACCATCAAAGCTATGGACCCCATATTCACAACACATACGTCTCTCCCTCTCCTCTCTCTCTCTCCTCTCTCTTTCTCTCTCTCATACAGAAATCGACGGTAAAATTTCAAATCGATCATATTTATATATCTCCAACAAGGTTTATGGGCAAATCTAAAAACAATACTTCTATAGACGAACTGTCGACATCATCGTGGACTCATGTGCCGTGGACGTTGCACCGGAACAGTAGACCTTCAAGCTCGACCTTCGAGCTTTAATGGCAGGCGAAAAAAAAATATTCACCGGCGATGGTTGAGCTTCCAGGAGAGGTCGCCGGCGGGAGGGGCACTGCACCGAAACAGTCGACCTTTAAGCTCGACCTTCGAGCTTTAATGGCAAATTAAAAAGAATTAACTTTTTCCACCGGCGAGGTTGAGTGTCCAGGATAGGTACCTTGGGCATTGAGGCCTGACGGAGGTCCGTCGCTAGTTGGAGAATGGCTGAAAACAGATTTTGGGGTGGAGGATTTGTGTTTGAAAATTTGATAAGATCCAAGGATTGTATTGCAAAATTGATAATTTTAGTTAATTTCAATTGAACCCATGGGTTCAATCTGTAAATTAAAAAAAAAAATTAACTATATTTTAATCCAGTCCATGGGTCAAATATATAATTTATATAAAATATGAAAACACATTATTTTATATATATTTTTTGTAAGACATATATATGATATCATAAATCAAAAATAATAATATTAAGTTATAATATATTATAATAAAATATAAAAATATTATTATTATTGTTATTATATAAATAATTTATTTCGATTATAAAAGTTCAATCGATTAACAAACGAATGAAAAAAAAAAAATCTCGCACTACATAACTCATAGTATTACAAAAAAAATGCACATTAATGAAAATCAGATCTCACAATATGACGCACAATCATATTAATTGAAAATGCACATTATTAATTTTTTATAAAATTATAACGCAATAAAAAGTACACATACAATATGTTGCACAATAATGTTAGGCTAAATGCACAGTATTGAATGTGTGAATGAACGCCATCAATATCAAGATGTAATATATCATGTTTTTTTTTTTCAACAAAAAATATTATATAAAACTACTAAATTAAATTATTAAAATACTAAATATAATCTTAATATAAATAATAAATTTGTTTGATTATTTAAGTTACACCATATAGATCAGTTTAGTTTTGTTTTTTTTTTTAATACGTTGAAGTTTAGTCAAATTAGAATGCACAACAACGATCATCATAGTGCATACTTGTGTTAGACAAGTTGTACATTAATGTTTATCAGACTGCACACTAGTGATCGAAAACGACCGAACTAATTTTTTTCAATTCATTTTTTTATATTTCAATTTAATTATCTGATTTTCACTTTTAAAATTTTGAATATTTCAAATATGTGTCGACAATTTTGAGTAAAACGACCGAGACAATCAAACTGACCGAACTATAAGTCGTGCAAAATCTATAGTTTTAATAAAATTATAATGTAAATATTAATGTGCACTGTAACCCTCAATATTGTGCATTTTTTTCTACCATTAATGTGCAATTTATTATAACAATGCAACACATATTAAAATATATGAAATTAAAAATTTTAAATTGCAGCAAAGTCCCTAACTCTTATTAGATTCTCAAAATC